GGTGAGATATTGAATAGAAATGTGGTATTTTTTATAACAGTAAACAGGTGGGAGGAGGTAGTTCTGGGATGTGAAAGGCTTTAGAAAAGTGGAGGGCTGAGGCCCCCCAGGGCTATTTTTATAGACAGGCACCACACTGGGTTTCCCTTACACATCACAAATTTTAAAATGTCCTTGAAAAAGAAAAGTTGCAGGGTGCAAATGTTTAACGACCAGAAGATAGGAATCAAAGTAATGGATTCAAATTATAAGTAAGGAGATAAACTAGACAAAATGTTAGAAAAAATATTGAGAGTAAATCCTCTGAAGGTGGAATGGATTATCTTGCAAGGTCATGACATCTCTTTCATTTAAGGTTTTTAAACAGGTTGGATGGCCACCTGTTAGAGTTGCCTTAGCCATGGATTTCCTGCTTCTTCAGAGATTCGGCTCAATGACTGTACAAGTCTAGAATTCTATCAAATTAGGGAACTGAAAGTGGGCATGGCCATTATAGGTTAATAGTAATATCACATTGGCTCAAATGTTGTTACCCTATTCTCTGTGTGAAACATTTTGTAACACAAGTGGTAGGACTCTGTTGGAGCCTTGTAACTTGTACCTCCTTACCTCAGTTGGAAACAACGAAGAGATCTATCCCTGCTTGTGCAGTGCTAAATCAGAGATCATGGAACATAATGAGCAGAATGTTAATGCCCCACCCACTTTCAACTGGAAAGTGGCCATTATTTTTAATCAACATTAGCCCCACTTTGCCAGTTCACCCAGTTGTATTGTTTACATAAAACCAGTAAAATCTACACAGTCTCTCCAGAGACACCAGAGAGAAGAATGCTGTTCCATTACACTCATTGCACAAGTTTGAATTTACATTTTTATTAAATGAAGGTATTTGATGGGTAATGTATTGGAAGCACCCTTTGATTTTGGTTTCTAAACATAGGAGATGTAGTAACGTAATATTACTACAGGGCTGTTGTAAGTGTGAATATATAGACTGTTGAACACCCTGTCAAAGACATAATGAGCACATTATTAAGCATGATATATATATTGCAGTCAGTGACAAAAACAGTCCTGAGACTGTTATTTTAAAACAATTGAAACCTCAGATAGTTGGGAAGCAGAAACTTAGGGTTTGTGTTGTAACATTGCTGCAGATCTTTGGCATAGATTTTGATAAACTCTGGGGAAATAGTTGCTTTGATCCATAAATCATTAAAACAATAGGAGTAAAACATTGCCCTCTAATTACAGAATGGAGCAGGCATATTGATAAACATTGACATGTCCTTCCTTCTGTGTATGTGAGAAATACATAAACAGTAGGATTCAGCTTGTTTTCCTGAAGAATCTGGGGGTTCTTTTATTTCCTATTTTTCACCTCCTATGGAGGCTGATATTTGTTGCTGATCCAGCTGCACTGTTTCACCAGTATTTCAGGTTTTCTGGGTAGCTCTGTTAACTATAAACCCTAAAATTTGAAAAACCCTCAAAACTTACGGTTGGTGTTGCAAAAAGTTGCAACACTCCAGCAGATCTTTGCCCTAGATTTTGAGTGAAAAGAACAACTTTGGTGTTGGATGAGCAGTAGTACCTCATGCTGTGAATTACACAGTTATAGGTGGCCCATGCAAGGTGCAACACCCTTTATCGAGTCACCATCACTGTAGGACCTGATTAAATGACACTTCAGAGGTCTTATGTTGAGCTGTATTATCAGAACCATATCAGGAATGTGCAAGATCCTATTTATTTATTTATTAAACTTATATGCCGCCCATCTAGACAATGTCTACTCTGGGTTGCTTACAGCAAATAGAATAAAACAATTGAAAAATAATAACATTATCTCAACAATGAACAGTCATTCAAGATGGAGGAAAGAGAATAGATTAAGTGATGACCGGAGGGAAGGCCTGCCTGAATAGCCAGGTTTTAAGTTGGCTTTTGAAAATTCCCAGCGAAGGGGCCAAGTGGATCTCGGAGGGGAGATTATTCCAAAGACGTGGAGTCACCGCCAAGAAGGCCCAGTTTCTTGTTTTTTCTTTCCGGACCGCCCTCGGTGTCAGGCTCCTCAGCTGCACCTCCTGGCTGGAACCAGTAATACAAGTAGATCTAGATGGGAGGAGGTGTTCTGCCAAATATTGAGGTCCCAAACCATTTAGGGCTTTATATGTAATCATTAAGACTTTGAAATCAATGCGGAAGTGAATGGGCAGCAAATGCAAGGCAGCCAGAGTGGGGGAGATACGTTGATGTTTTATCACCCCAGTATGAAGTCTGACCGCCGTATTCTGCACCATTTGAAGCTTCCGCATCGATCTCAAAGGTAGCACCACGTAGAGTCCATTACAGTGGTTTAATCTTGGGATTACAAGCACATGGACCAGAGTGGTGAGCACCCCAACATCAAGATAGGGATGCAGCTGGGCAATCCGCCAAAGATGGAAATAGGCAGAGCAGACCACTGGCACCACCTGGGTTTCCATGGTAAGCACCAGGTCCAGATGGACCCCCAAGCTACGATTATCAGTCTTTGCGGTAAGAGTTACACCCCCCCCAAAAGAGGGGGTTTCCCAAAACACTGATGATGGGCCTACCTACCCTTAGGACCTCCATCTTCTCTGGGTTTAGCCTCAGCCCCTTTTTCCAGCACTCCAAACAGTGCTGAAGGGACAGAACAGCATCCACTGTGGTTGGAGAAAAGGAGATGTAGAGCTGAGTGTCATCAGCATAGTGATGGCACGATGCCCCACACCCCCTGATGACCTCACCCATCGGCCTCATATAAATTTTAAACACCATTGGGGAGATAAGCCCTGCGGAACTCCACAGTTGAGGCTCCACAGGGCCAAATCTCTCTCTCCAAGCTGAACTCTCTGAGGACGATCCTCCAAGAAGGATCGGAGCCAGGCAAACGCCAGGCCACCAATTCCCAACTCGGAGAGCCTCTTCAGGAGGATACCGTGGTCGACAGTATCAAAGGCGGCTGAGATATCGAGGAGGACCAACAGATATGTTTTCTTATTCACATAGAAAAAGAGATGCATATAAAAATGGCGATACCCTGTTGTGGGCAGATGACCACTTGGATTCTTTCTCCAGTTAATGTGGAGGTAGAGACACTTGCAAAATGCTGAGTAGACTTAAGAAGACCGGAATTATAATGTGCTCATCTTTCAGTCTCATCCTTCTAATACTGGCACATCCTGCTCCAGATAAGCGTGCTGCTTATATATAAGAGAATGTTTGTTTATGTTAATTTTGAAAATGCTTAGCATTGATTGATTGATGGACACTTGTATCTAAGCAGCATTAACAGATAATGGAACCACAATTGAAACCTCCATTCAGTGGCATCCTAATTGGTGGTGTAATTAGCATAATTTTTCTAATTATTTTGGGTAGAGCTGGAACTCTTGGAATGAGTTACTCCATTGCTTTAGGGTGCTTTCCCCAGAAATAAGAAAAAGGAAAGCAACATTTCAAATGGCATTATGGAGCCTTTTGTTAGATAAGCATTGCAAAAAAATTGCTATGCCTAGAAAGTTTTGGCTATACGGTATAATTCTTCCTCAGAAGCATTACATGACTGGAAATCACTTTATGTAAAGCACTGTATTCTGGAATGTTTGGTGGTAAGCAGGGATATTTTGGTTATTCTCTGTGCAAGTGAGTGTACTGAGAGTTTTTGTAGGGATTTCTCACTGTTATGCTCTCTCTCTCTCTCTCTCTCTCTCTCTCTCTCTGTGTGTGTGTGTGTGTGTGTGTGTGTGTGTGTGTGTGTGTGTGTTATACTATATCATGTGACATAGCCAAATAAATATTAAAGAGTAGTCAGAATCCTAAAATGGATTTATGCTGGAATATGTCTTGTAGAGCAGAGGTCCCCAACCCCTGGGCCACAGACCAGTCTCGGTCCATGGCCTTGGCAGGACCAGGCTGTGGAGACAGATCTCCCGCCCCCCGCATGCACAGACACGCACACATGCCTCCCCACGCATAGACGCACACACAGGCCACACACCCATGCACACACACCCCCACCACCCCCATGTATGCATAGATGTACTCACACGCACATACATGCACACACAGACACCCCCACCCATGCACACTAAACTGGTCCATGGTGTCAAAAAGATTGGGGACCACTGTTGTAGAGTAAATCACAGTGATGAATTGCCACAAATTTAGTTGCTGTTCATGTTTGTAGTCACATATTCACACAACTACCGTGTTTTCCCGAAAATAAGACAGGGTCTTATGTTAATTTTTGCTCCAAAAAACGCAGTAGGGCTTATTTTCAGGGGATGTTTTATTTTTTCCCATGTATGATAGTCTACATTTATTCAAATACAGTCATGTCATCTTCTGGTTGCTGCACAATGGTGGAGGGCGGCGTTTCACTTAACTGGGCCTTATTTTTGGGGTAGGCCTTATTTTGGGGAAAACAAGGTAGCATGGAACTAGGAATGCTGGTGGCAATTTGTTAATGGAATTACTGGCAATTCATTGCTGCGATTTACACCATTACACTTATGCTGGTGAAAATCTATAGTAGATTCTGGCCAGTGAATAATAAATAAGAGGCCAAACCGCTTTCGAGAAAGAGGACTGTCACGAAAAATATTACCAGTGGGAATTAATGAAGGCATATTGCTTTTATTGCATAGGAGCACATTGTAAATTTATTTTGCTTATTTGAAAGATTCGTATACCCCACTCTAGCAAAGTTTCCAGGATGGTTTGTGAAACAAAATAAAAAGCAAATATGTGGTGAAACATGTCTGTCTGTGGTCATGAGAGGTTTAGTAAAACTAGACTGTGGAGGATTCATATCCAGAATATGCAATGCAAGCTGCAGTTACGTTTTAGACATGGAAGCAAATATTTTCATGTGATCCAGAAATGATCTTAAATTCAAATTAATTTCATGAGGAGATTATGAATGTAAACACATATGGATATAATTTATGGGGCTTTAATTCTTTTAGGAGAGTATTTCCAGACTCCTGAAGATTTCTGGTAGCTCAGATGTAACACTTTGTTGAATTAACACTGGAGGCACCCCCAGAAGAGAGCCTTGGAGAGTGGGTAATGCTTGCTTGTTCTGAGCATAAGCATAAAAATTACATTTTAAGCATAGTTTGATTTATAATATATCTTCCTCCATGTCAGTTATTACCACTGATATTGTAATTTTGACATGTTTTGCATTGTTTTTGTCAATATTTTTCCTTTAATAGTTCGTTTTTGAAAAAGATTCCTTTGGAGAAGTAAAAAATGCCTCGCAAATACTCCAAGAAAATATTATAGTCTCCCCAAAATAACAAGTGTTCATTGATTGCTACACAGAAAAAGTACTACAGTGGTGCCCCACTTGACGATTACCCCGCATTACGATGAATCAGCTTCACGACGACGTTTTTGCGATCGCTTTTGCGATTGCAAAACGATGGTCTAAATAGAGTTTTTTCACTCTGCGATGATCGGTTCCCGAAGCAGGATTCTTCACAAAACAATGGTTTTTTAACAGCTGATCGGTGGCTTCAAAATGGCCACCGGGTAATTAAAATGGATCCCTGCTGTGTTTAGGGATGGATTCCTCGCTATACAGGCACCAAAAATGGCCGCCGTATGGAGGATCTTCGCTGGACGGTGAGTTTTTAGCCCATTGGAATGCATTGAACGGTTTTCAATGCATTTCAATGGACTTTTTATTTTCGCTTTACGATGTTTTCGCTTAACAGTGATTTTCCTGGAACGGATTATTGCCGTTAAGCGAGGCACCACTGTGCATTACTTATCCTTACCTTGTTTGTAAAAAAAGCATGATGATGCCCTTCTTACAAAAATAAAATAAAATAAATGTCCTACTTAGAAGTTCTGATTCGGCATATTTGAGATAACTTAATCACTGCCTTCAGAGAAATACAGCAAAATTAATACTAATAAAAACCTGGTATGAACAATGCTATCCTGAATCTACTGCAATTATCTGTATTCTCTTTTGTCTTTAGGTAGACAATGTTATTAGCTCATATCAATCGAGACTCTCAGGGAATGACGGAGTTTTCTGGAGGGGGGATGGAGGCCCAGCATGTAACTCTCTGCTTAACAGAAGCTGTAGCGGTGCAAGGTAAGTATTCAGGGCAATACCCATTTTTTTATCATTGATAGAGAAGTAAATAATAGGGGTGGGTCTTTTGTGTGTTAAAAAAGGCGGAGAGATACCAAAAGGGCTCTTCTTTTTCATTTTTGTGTACTTTAATTTATTCCTGATGTAACCTTTAAAACGTGAATGATTTGTATTAATGGAATAGAAGTACATGGAGGTTTCATGTTATTTTGTGTTTTAATTTGTGTAAGCTTTCTTTTACTCTTTATCTATCAAATAACCTGGGAAATTTATCCTCCAATAGAGTTGAGAGGACTGCAGTCAGCAACCAATCAGAACATTGTAGGGAGACAAGAATTTTTAATCTGTAAAAGGACCTTGATTGTTTGGAATCCAGTGAGGAGTGCTTTGTATTTCTGAATTATTTTTTCCTACTGCCTGCTTGTGTTTTTTTACTGTTTCTGCCTAGTGCAGTGGTCCCCAACCTTTTTAACACCGCAGATCAGTTGGGGAAAGTGGGGCACCTCACACACATGCGCGAAGGGGCAGGCATGCATGCACTTGCATGAAGGAGTGGGGGTGCTCACATGGGGGTGCACACACGTGTGTGTGTGCGAAGGGTGGGAGATGCTTGTCCGTCTGTGCGAAGCGGCTGTGTGTGTGGGAGTGCATGCGGGAAATCTTTCACCACAGACTGGCACCAGGGGACCAGGTGGGACCAGGTTGATTGGGGGGCCCAGGCCTAGTGGACTCAAGGAAGATAGGAGATCAAGTAATTTGGGGAGAGAAATCTAGAAGAAATATCTCCATATTCCAATAATTTTGATGGGGGGGTTAATTGTATATTTGGCATTTATTTGCTTCCTTGTTTTTCCAGCTTTTGGGAGAGGGGGCTGTTTGTGGGTGCTTTTTATTTTGTTGTTTCTTTGGTGTGGATGTGAGTGTGGGTGTTTTCACTGTTCAATTGATTTTAAAATCAGTTTTAATTTATCCTACTAGTTATTGTATCTGTTGAATGTTTGTATCATTTTATTCTTATTGTGTTTTAATATTGTGGTGTTTGTCTTGTTGTTAGCCACCCAGAGTGGCCTGGCTGCCAGATGGTGCGGGTATAAATCTAATAAATAAATAAATAAACTAGTTAATTTCTTGTGTCTCTATTCTGTAAAGCAGTGGTCCCCAACCTTGGGCCTCCAGATGTTCTGGGATTTCAGCTCCCAGAAATCCTGACCAGCAGAGGTGATGGTGAAGGCTTCTGGGAGTTGTAGTCCAAGAACATCTGGAGGCCCAAGGTTGGGGACCAGTACTGTAAAGGGTACCTGGTTTGGGTTGTGTGTGACTGTTTTGTGTGGTGGTTAACTGCTTTTGAATCAGACTGATTCTTTGTTGTCTTGTTTCTGATTCTTTCAAGTAATTTTTATGTGTTCTTCAGAGCTTTTGGATTGTGTCAGAAATTTGAATGGGCAAAAATGAAATAAAATTCTCCAATGGAGATGGTCCCTTTCTTGTTAAGCAAAGAGGACTAGTACACAAAAAACACAAAAAGAAAGGAGGCACCTTCCCGAAGGACCTGAAAAGAAACAAATGCAAACATTTTTGGCAAACAGAACCCTTGTTAACACATGCTTTGGTAAACTTATAAAACACATAGCGATATTTCAAGTTTTGAAGTGCACCAAAGTTAATCGGAAATGGTATTTTTCCTGACTGACAAATATCGTAATTCTTTAAACTAGAGATGGGCACGAACCAAAAAGCAAACCAGGAAATTTGTCAAGAATTGCTGGTTTGTTGGTTTGGGTTGGTAGGTTTTGTAAAAAAATCGGAGAACCAAAACTCAATGAACC